CAACAAGAGCCAATGGAGTTTCGCTACCGTCGTCTTCGCTGCTATTTGCTAGCGTATTTGCCGCTAACCGTTAGCAGCATTCGCTAAGACCCGCCCCCGTTGACGACCCTTCCTCCCCGGTATGTTGGAGTATTTGTGCAGTCAGTGGGAGCCTGCTCAGAGGACTTCATTGCACAGCTTGTATGGACATATTCCCGCATGTAGACATCACTGTTGAGCATGTGCACTGTTGCCCTTGTGGTGTCGTTACCACGGGACTGTTTCGGGCAGCACTGTGGCGGAGGAGTCGACACGGACTCTTGTGGACTTCTTGTGAAAATGATGTAACATTGACCCGGGTGGAGCCTGACGTACAGCCATGACATGATAATCCGACCCTTAACAATCCTAAACCTGCTATCCGACAGGTTTTTAGGAAAAACCAACAGAACCCATAAAAACAGCCTTAACATAGCGACAGCCTTGGATTGTGACTCCGACATGACATTTAATGTCACCAATCAGGATGACGGCGTATTATCTGACTGAACAATCCCACAGATTGGCTACGTTCACACTGCAGGACTTGATGCTCAATGAGGATTTCTTTGTGACTTCCTTCACGTTTCCACTTCAATGCGACTTGTATGTGATCTGCTGTGTGAACTTCATACGAGCCAAAAGTGTCCCGCATGCGCAGAAGAGGACACGACGACGTCACACGCAGCGAGCGTGCTCAGTGTTTATGGAAGTAAACATGGATGGTAACGGTGGAGCGTATCTGCCACTCCCCCGCCGCCACCGATGGAGGAAACAGAAGTGTGAGCGCTAACTAAACTAGCATCAGCAGCCAAGTACTGCCTGTGTGTTCTGGACACTTCCACCCCGTCAGAGTGCTGCCCCGGGGTGGAAGTGTCCCCCGACTGCACTGAATATTCATCATTAATTGGGCCTGAACATCCAGAGAGCAGAAAGTTCTATTGGGACCAGCCCTACTAGTTATTATAACAACTATGAACAATAATGAACAACTAATGAGCCTTCCAGCATCAAGCCCTCCTCGTATCTGGACCTCCGTCTGGACAATCCGACAGCCTTGATATCCGACATAGAATAAGGTTTTACATTTAGTGTTGGATCATCGAGTCATGACTATAATTGTAAATGTGGAAATTCTAGCGCTGGCCTCATGGTGGGGCTTCCTTGTGATTGACAGATTGCTCTCCAGCCAGATCCACCGCGCTCTCAATTTTAAAAGACCAGCATCAACCGAAGTCCCTCATAAAGGTTAGTAAGTGTATAAAAAGTACGATTCAATCTGGGAATTAGACACATTTTGGGTTGCTGGAGGTTTCTTTGTTTGGATCTATGTGAACAGTTTCTCCTGCTTCCAGTCTTTGTGCATCCTGGACTGTTCTGGATGCTCAAAAACAAAAACCTCTGATATCGTTCTGCTGAAACGTTTAAGCAAATGTTGGGCTGTTACTAAACTACACTCCTGAACTTTATAAGAAAACTTTTCAGTTGTTCTTCTTGCTGATGAGCAGGACCATCGCCTCGGACCCTCACCCCACCTCCAGTGACACAGTCGGCACAAACTTCCAGACTCCTTTCATGGCTCGGCTCGATCAGCAGGTCCAGGAAGCTGCTTTGTTCGCTGCAGCCACCTCCTCTGTGACTCACTCATCTGGAGGCCACAGAGCTGCTCCTCCAGAGGACACTTTGATGTGCTCTGGAGTGCGGTCATGTCAGGAAAAGTGAGGCGATCCCCTCAGAAGTCAAAGTCTTTTTCATTTCAGCTGCCTCGCCTGGAAGACGAAGAAGCCACAAAGCAGAGTCACTTAGTCACGACAAAGACCAGGAATGAACGTCGGTGCCGCTGGGGAGAGTCTGGCAGGACAAGAACGTCCCAGCAGCTGCTCAGGGAGAGCTGTCCTTCCTCTAGAATAAGCCTGAACATGGTCCACAGATTAGTTTGTCCTAATGTGGTAAATCCCAGCTCGTGTTTACACGAAGCACCGGTGTGCGCTTGTAAAGCCCAGCAGGACACCGAGCGGCAAACACGCGGCCCCGACGCCGTGTTTACCGAAACCTGTTTGTCCAGCTGCCGGGGGGACGCGGCGAGGACGCGGGATGGCTGTTAATTAAAATCGTGATTCGTGCCTTTTTCGTTTGGATCAAATGAGTTGTACATTACTGTCGACACGGCCAAACAAACAGCGGGGATGCCAGTGTACATGTTTGCTAACCTGCCCGGCTGCGAGTCCAGCGCCGGCGCCGCCGCCGCGGGGAAGGAGGAGGGGTTTGATTACCGACCTGCTGTTTGGATATTTTCCTCTGGGTGCCAGAGATAACGTTTAAACTGAACCCACATGCGGGGGAACCTCGGCCCGTTTTCTAATAGTTTTTAAAAACATCACGTGTTTTGCAAATAAAAGGTGTGAACAGGAAGTGATGGATGGACTTTGTTTTAAATTTAAAAAAAAAAGAAACTTGAAATTGAAATGTTTAATTTGAGCATCACTGGGTTTAAATGCTGAAACTTCAAGTGATTCGACTTAAATGTTCAGACAACAAACGTAAAATAAAAGTGAAACAGCTCCGAATAGACCATGTGAGCTGCTCGCTGACTGAAGTCGTATTTAGAAGCAACTTTAGCTGTTAAATGGTAAACATTATGGTGACACACACACGCTGGCTTCTTCAGGCTAAAACGCTGATGAGACCAAACGAGAAGGAAGTGGTGTTAAATCAGAGCTCTGACAGCAGAGCGGCCGGACATGGTGAAGAAAAGCCCGACAAGTTCAATCTTCTGTCGTGTTTGTTTCACAAATAACATCCTCCATGATCATGAAGAACATTTTGGAGACCAATGAACTTAAAAGCATTTTATGTCCTGCTTTCAGTGACTTTTTAAATGAACAGAACAGCTTTAAATTCTCATGTTTTGGAAGATTTAGATTTCAGAGTCAGTAATGCGGCTTGTTCTTTAAACCGAATAATACATTACATTAGTAATTTACAGCTGTATTTATTTGGAGTTTTCCATCATTTGAGCATCATCATGAGCGCTGCTCTGCTCTCGGACAAGACACTCAGAACCTCGTAAGTAATTAGCGAGCTAGCGGCTAACACGCTAGCACGATGGAAACACACAAAATGTTTTTATCTTTTTGTTTCGACCGACTACAGTCGAATGTATTCGTCCCCTTCCATTAAAGAAAACTTAAAATTCATGATTAAATAACTAGAAGCTGAAAAAAGTAATAAATAAAAATTTGTTAAATTATAATTTTGTAAAATAAGACGTTGGTTTTGAATTGTGGCTGAAAATAAAAATTAAAATAAAATAAAACCAATGAGAGCACTTTGCTGATGAGCAGGTGAGCAGTGGTCCAGAATACCTGTCAACAGGTGCAGAAGTCTGACTGAGAGCTACAGGAGACACCTGATGGCAGTGATTGGCTCAGAGGGTTGTTCAACTACATGTTAGTTCACGGATCCCATCAGGCTGATTTGCTTGTGTGTTTTTTAAAATTTTTTATATTTCTGTTGAACCACAAAGCCAGCATCATGATGTTCATTACATTTTTATTTATTATTACTTTTGTCAATTTCAACTTATTTCAGTGACTGAAGCTGTTTGTTTTCCTTCTTTAATGGGAGGCTATGAATACATTCATCTATTTTTGTTTTCATTCATTCACAAAAGAAAAGCATCACAGAGAAAAAAATCTTTACAGGCAAGTTTGATAATAAACTATTTTCGCTACCTGAGGTCGCTCAGCTGCTGATGGGACGACATTTATCCCACTGACTCGTATCTTGGACCTGTTTATCATCTGTGGAGCCAGTCAGAGGTTCAATAAAGGGACTGTAACCTAAAGCTAATGAGCTATGAAGCTTTTTCAACTGTCTGAAGTTCAAACGTTAGCGCTACCAAAACATGTTGCTGCTGCTACATGTCTCAAAGCTCTTCCAAGTTAAACTGAACTTACAGAAAAACAGGAAAGAGTCACGTAGAGGTCACAAACCTGTGAGCTCTCACGCTGCTGATTGTGGTGATGTGATCGAAACGAGAACATTTAGCTGCAAAATGAACCTGGTGAGTGTAGCTGTCCACGTGAACCTGATATAAAGATTAATAACAAAAACAAGAAATTCCTCATAAAACAAAATGTAAAAAACTCTTCTTTCTGCTGTCTTCAATCAACACCGATCAAACACTTGTTGTTGTTATTGTGGCTCCAGCTTCACTTTTGAACCAGTTAAACCAGTTCAGTATAATTAAAGCTGGGGGATTATCTGGAAGCTGCTCTGCTGACAGCACGAGCTGAACCCACTGCATTCTGAAATGACAAATGTTTGGTGTTTTAACAAGACTTTATTATAAAGACACGAATGTACATCTTTCAAATTTCAACGGAATACTCACATTGCGTGTCTAATTCACATTTTTTAAAATTTTCTTTCCTCCGCAAAGAACAAATAGCAAAAAAAATCTTTCGCCTTTTATAAACAAGTGCCGCAATTCAGTCTCCAGAATACAACAGCCACGGCTGGACGACGAGCTTCTGGACGAGACTCAAGTTGGAAATCAAATAAAACACCAGCAACCTGAAAGTCATAGCAGCATCCTGTGTGTGAAAAGGAGTCTTTAGAAAAGCCCAGTCAGGAGTCTGATCACTGTCGTCTTGTTTCTGTCGACGTCTTTTAAAGAATAATCACCGAGGCGATCCAAGGTTCCACTGAAGATTAAAGGCCTTCAGAAGTTGTAAATGGGTCGGTTTCTCTTGAGTTCTGGAGTAGAAAAATAATCCTGGATGAGTCGCTCCCCGATAACCGGAGCTGGAGGCTTCACACGTCTGAGCATCGCTTCAGTTCATTCACAAATAAACCTTTTTTTTTTCTTTATTTAAAAACGTCTCTACTATTAGTTTAAAGGATCTTCAAAAATAAAACCACCAACAACAAAAGGAATACTTCTTTAAAGCAGAGAGGAGGAGGAGGAACACAGGAAGTCACAGCACTTGGAAACGCCACGAGGCCTGGTCTTTGTAGTCCAAACAGTCCGAGGCGTTGAAGTTGAGTTTCCAGGCCGAAGCCGCCGCCGCCGCCGTCTGCTCTTTGTAATCCAGACAGTCTGTGGAGTTGAAGGCGAGGCCGGGCGCGCTGTACGCCTGGTGGTGGTGCGACGGGTGGTGGTGGTGGTGGTGGTGGCCCGACGTCTGGCCGATGTGGTGGTGCGGGTGTCCCGACATGGAGCTGCCCGTCATGGGGCTGAGCTGGTGCGGGTGGTGCGGGTGGTGGTGGGAGTGCATGGGCGCCAGGTACGAGCCGCACTCCACCCCGCCAAAGTAAGAGCCCGACGCCGAGGCCGGGTAGCCCTGGCTGTACGCCGCCGCCGTCTGGCTGTAGGACACCGGGTAGGACGGGTTCCCTCCGGGGGCCGAGGACGACACGGAGCGCTGCATGCAGGAGGCGCTGGTGGGGGCGGCGGGGTCGGGGAGGGCGGCGGGCGCCGGGGCCGGGGAGATGGGCGCCGGACTCCAGATGGACGACACCGGAGCGGTGACGGAGGTAGAGGTGCTGATCAGCCCGGAGGGTACAGAGGAGGAGGAGGAGGAGGAGGACGAGGAGGAGGAGGTGGAGGAGGAGGAGCTGGACGCCACCGGCGGGGTGAACTGGCCGCTGCTCTCCGAGCCGGTGCTCTCTCTGGTCGGAGACGACTTCTTCTTCATGGGCTTCACTTTGCCGCTGTTGCTGCTCTGCTGCTGCTGCCGACACTTGGCCCGTCGGTTCTTGAACCAGACCTGAGGAGGGAGGAGAGGCCCAGAGGGCATCAGCACACGTCGGCAGGGTCGGAAATAAGAAAACTAATGTGAAGCCTGAGCAAGGCAGCAGCAACTAAACACCTTCTGCACGGTCACATGAGCACACTGTGGCTCTGACCTTTGACCTTTCATTGACGTGCTGTGCAGTCTGCTAAATGACCAAATAAGTTTAAATTAAAATAATATTTAATGTATGTAAACCAACATCTGGAGGATCATTTCATCAAAATGACAGAAAACAAATCCAACATATTTTCTGACTTTACAGGTTGTAGTTATTGGTTTGATTTGTTAGATCCTGATCACATCACATGGAGTCAGCATGCCGTGCTTCTAGAAAAACATTAAATAATTCTACAGTAAGATGATGTTTACATACTTTACTGTGAACATGGGAACTATTCATGTAGTAGAATGAGGTGGGGATGCAGTATTTTGGTTCTGTTGTAGGTCTGAGGTCTTAATGTCTCCTAAAACCTGAACAAATACTAAAACTGTCAGCAGGTCTTTTAAAAACTGATCCTTTCATTCTTGTTCAAGATAAATAAAACCTACAGTCGTCCTCTAATGTGTTCATAGCCTCCCATTAAAGAAAAAAAAAAAACAGGTGTCACTGAAATAAGTTGACAAAAGTAATAATAAATAGAAATGTAATGAACATCATGACGTTGCTTCTGAATTGTACTTCACCAGAAATATTAAATCAAACCATCCTGATGGGAGCCGTGAACTAACATGTAGCTGAACAACCCTCTGAGCCAATCACTGCCATCAGGTGTTTCCTGTAACTCTCAGTCAGACTTCTGCACCTGTTGACAGGTGTTCTGGTGCACTGCTCATCAGCAAAGGCCTCTCATTGGTCCAAGATA